CAAGCTCATCAGCTCTTTCCTGGGTAAACCTGGAACCTGGCACAAATGGAGGAGGGTGAGCAGGTAATACAGGTAAATCTGTGAGAGGATCTTCAGCCTCCTGATGCTCTACCTGGAATTCCACAGGCATCGACATCAGTACAGGCCTGACCTTCTTCACTACAGGTTTGTACTTTAAAACATGAAGAATGGGATTGAACTGGTAAGTAGAACATAAAGCTGAAATTGTTAGTGGTGAAACAGTAGTGCCAGTGGAAAATAAGAAGGGGTCATTTGAAGAAACAGAACTAACATTGAATGGATCAATGGGGGGCATACTGTTGCTTTGTAAATCATAGATAAATGCTGCAGCAGAATTTTCGAAAGTGTCTGTAGGTGAAAGGGTAGTAGTCTTCAAAGGTAATAAAGGAGGATCAGAAACATAGAAAGAACACACAGAGAAAAGATTATCATGGCCTCCTCATGATCCAAATGAGTCATTGACTGACACTAGAAACCCTGCTCAGGCCGTTTCATATGGCAATGCATTTCCATGCATGTGAAGTAGTCTTCTTTGTCTTCAGAATTTACAAATCATGGAAGAAGTTGTAGTCTGTTTTGAGGGTGCATTGGAATTAATACCTGTCTGCCTGTGTTAGGGTCACAAATCTCTAGAGACTGTTCTCCATCAGGGAAATCCCAAAAGATACTAGTGAGTAGGCAGAAGAAGGGTCATCCAAGAAGTAGGTCAAATGGAGTGCAATCAACAACTTGAATCTGGAGATGGGCTTTGACATTCCCTATGTGCAAGGAAGCATTCTCTATGACTCCTAGAGTACTCTCTTTAGACTGGTTAGCAGCTTTGAGGGTCATGCTCATGTCAGAATGAAGAGGAGCCCCTAGAGCTTCCCATAATTCTCAATGTAAGGCTACCACTTGGCAACCACTGTCCAGGATACACTTGATGTGGAGTTGGTCCATTAGGATGCCATTGACAGTGCATAATGGCGCAGTAGCAAGACCTACACACTTCCCTTCTGTGTCTCTGACCCAATATTGTTCATAGGATGCCCAGGTAGCAGAGGCAGTAGCTTCTGATGCTGTTTCTAAACTCCCAATTGTTATCTTCTTCATCACAGCTAGCTCTCTGACCTGCTTGCGAATCTCCAGGCTGATGGCTAAGAGATCTTTGGTGGAAATTTCCATCTTGGCATCTAAGACCTGGTTTACAAGTCATTTGGTAGCCACTGTTATGCCCAAGTGTAGTGACTTCTTCAAATGGAATAGGCACAATACACGCAAGGGGGAGACTATGGGCCAAACTTGTCATAACCCCTATGGCTGAGTTATCACAATGATCCAATAAAGGTTCTGTCTACTGGCAAGTCCCTAAGGTTGTTCACATGGAGAGAGAACAAGGGATAAAGCGAAGGGATGAAGCTCAGTTGCAAGCTATCAAAAAACTGCAGATACAGGACAAAGTACATAGGCCTATATACCCCTAAGTACGAGTACTGTAGCAGTCACGACATGTATCTGCAGTAGTAAACAAAATGATCAGTCAAATCAACAGGAGTCATATGGTGTCAAATGATGGGGTAGGGAGGTGACAAGTGGCTATACTGGCTGGCGCAATCAATGCGCAGCAAGGAGCCTGACACCAGAACTATAGTACAACAAGTGAGCAACATAAACAAGTCAGAATGAGTCAAAGAACAGGGAACAGAACAAGAAAGGAACAAGTCATCCATCAGAGAGGGCAGTGGAATACTGGATCACAGTGACAATGCAGTCTTGACAGGTATTGGAAATACCTTGACAGCAGGAGATCCAAACATTCCCTGGAGCATTCAAGCCCCTAGGATGGTGACAATTATGAAGGATGTGATGAGGCATGTGATGCACATGACCGTAAGAAGTCAAAAGAGGAAAGACTCCTGACGGAAGCATAACAGCCACTGCTTTGTTGAAACCACTCTGATAACAAAATTGGGGTGCAGAATTTGTCATAGGCTTGGATTTCCAGAGATCTGTGGGATTAGAGACAACTGGAGTTTTAGTAATGGCTGGGATCTCTGTAGAAGGGATGGAATTGGTTGGTGTGGAATTAATGACTGTCTTAGAGGCAGCTGGCATGCCAGCAGGTGCAGGAGCAGCCACTGGGGTTCACTGGCAATGAGCTGGAATTTCTACACCATCAAAATGAGCATTCTTCTTCTTCTTGATATTGTTCTTCAATTCTTCTACCTGAGCATAAGCTCTCACTAAGGCACATTGGTCTTCTTCATCAGCATCCTCCTCAAGTTCTTCATTGATTAGGTAGGAAGAAGGGTGCAAGTCAACCTGAAATTCTGGGGCTTCTTCATTGCTGAAGAAAATCATACTGATGAGATGGGGATGGGGTGGGGAATTGTGACCATGAGAAGAGCTCAACTGCTGACCAGGTCATTGTGCAGAGATGAGATTGGCTGAGGCAATAATGGATTTGCACATGGTAAGGAAGTTGTCAATCTTCTCTTTAAAATTCTGGCCAGTGGCTGTCCTAGGGATGTCAGAGCCATCAGGCATAAATACTCTTCCCCCTATCAGGGAGCATTTCCCAGCTTGGATGTATTCATGGCATGTCACACACTCTGAGGTATGATGTCCATCAGTACCTCTGCAGAAGAAACACTGAGGATCAAAGGAGCAGCAGAATTGACTGTCTTGGTTTTGCTGAGGAAGAGACACAGAGGCTTGATGCTGTGCAACCTGGATGTACTCTCACTTCAGGATGGTAGGTACTGATGATGCTGGGGGTGGTGCAGAGGTCTGCAGGAATAACACTGCAGAGTCCAGCTGAGGATGGTTTTGTTTTGCCCCACTGAGGAGGTAGTTAGCATGTTTGTAGACCACATTGAACCCCCATGGTTCATCAACATCATGATCTAGGTCTGAAAGTTGTAAATGGGTGAGCAGAGAATTCTGGAACCTTGGGGGGAACCCCTCAAGGAATTTCTCATTGACATAGTTATCAGGGAGTTTCTTCTTCTTCTGTATGAGGCTGAGGATGTGCCTGAACTCACATAAATATTTTCTGAGATCTTCTAGGGACTCCATAGGCTTCTGCACCTGATGGTGGAGTAGGGTCTCAAGTTTGACCTTGGTGTAGCAATGATCTTTCACCAAGGCACCTGGATAGTAGTTCAGGAGTTCTTTGGAAAATGCATCCCAGTCATTGAAGCCATTGGTTGCAGCATCTGAGGTGGACCAAAATCCAGCCTTGTTGTGATCAGCATAATGGATGACCCAGTGGATTTTATCATTTCTGGTGTCCAGGCCAGCTTCAATGCAGAGTTGTTTGACATCTTCAAGGTAGTGAGTGATGTCTTCAGTACAACTGGAAAACTTCAGGGCTTTGTTAGAGCCCCTAAGCAGCATATCTCTAGCTGCAGACATTATGTGAGTCAGTGCAGAATTTTGATTAGGAAGATTCAGAATTTGGGGAACACAAGGCATGGGATTAGAAAGCAAAGGGACAGCAGGATTCTGGATGGGAACTTGGGCAAGGGGGGCAATAATGGGGGTTACAGAGAGTGACTGTGAAGGGTTGAGTAGCTGTTCAGCAGTGAGTTCAGAATTGCTAGATGACAAGGATGAAGAGGATGACAGATCTGTGAGAGGTGAAAGTTCTTGGCACTCTGTGGGGGGAGCAAAGGATTCATTGAGGTTGAAACCTCCTGGAAAATCTGGATAAAACAACAGAGAATCTGAATTCTGAAAGATCTCATCTAGGCCAAGATCTGAATTGGATGAATGAGGTTCTGGAGTCTCTCTGGGATCAGTTACAGGGATTAAAATCTCTGATGAAGAAATAGAAAGGCAATGGAAGGGCTCTAAGAGCTCTTCAAGTTTGGTTCTTTGACAAGTGGGTTGTAAGGATCTCCTTTCCAGATCTACAGACCCCTCATGGTGGGCTCCAAAACAATGTGGGACAATACCTCTGGGTAGCATGCAATTAGGGGGAAAGCTGTAGGGTAATCCCTAGGCTCAACCCAAGGGGTGCTGAGTAGGAAGGAGACATAGAATACGATGGTAGAGTCAATCAGGAAGTTGAATGTAGGGCATGGAATTTAATTCTGCAGTGTTGTAGACAATTTGGGTCCAAATAGACTTGTTTATGAAATTCCAAGTGATGATCTTGGCATGAGGAAGAATTCCAAGACTCATGAGACACAAAGGTGAGACACAGATATGCAGGGGACACAAAAGACACAGTAGACACAGATTGACACTAGAAATGCAGATGACACAGTAGACATGGAGGATGCAGCAGACACTTTGAACACTTCAACACATGAATGACTTGGATAGTGACTCCAAAAGATGGGTGGTATTTTTCCATTGCTGAGGCAAAATTATATAGTACATGGAGAGTAAGGTACTGATCAGGATAATGTGGGGCAGGTGAAGTAAAAATTCTGAAAAATAAAGGGAGACATGACAGATGTCAATGCACTACAGAATCATGTGAAAACCAACTGAAAAGCAGTAACCAAGAGAAACAAAAGGGAAAGACAGGTATCTTTCAACAGAACAAGCATACTGTGTACTGTAGAGTAGCATATGCGAAGGATAGAGGCTGTAGATGCAAAGGGGTTCTTGCATTGCAGAGAAAGATTTGTGGGAAAGGAATGAGAGGGGTAACTGGAGTTTATTACTGATGATCTGCATAATTTCCTGGCTATGTGGCAAGGTGAAGGATGAGGTGACACAACTGCAGAATTCTGGATAGACATGTCAGGTTGATGTTGACATGGAATTCTGGGACAATGACTGGTATGTGTTATTGATGGACAGGGGAGCTCTGAAGGTTCGATGGGCAAGGTGGCACACAAGGCTGATGTATGAGGCTGATGCAATAATTCTGAAGATGACAGATGTGGAACTCTGGTAGGGGTCAACTTTGGTAATGGCAGAATTTTGGTGTTGGCATCCCTATTTTGGCCTCTATACCACTCCCTACACCAATTGATCAGCCAATGGCCCAGATTTTTTTCAACAGCTTCAGGCAGAAGGGCACACTTGCACTATGGGCACTTGTGGTGACTGCACAGTGCATCATTTCCAGAATAGCCTGAACAGGATGCTGAACTTGTCATGCTAGATACATGGTGGGATCCAACTGTGTATGAGGGTTACATTCATTTGCCACAATCCCTGATGCTTGAGTAGCTTCTTGTAGCATCCCACCAAATATTCACATATTCTCATGATTGTGCACTTCCCTTCTCTAGCATTTTGTCTTATGTGAACAAGTCTACAAGCACACCCATAATTGCTGTCTGGTTTGTCATCATCTTGGCAACACTACTTGGCCTCCTTGCATTTGCAGGCATGCAGGCCATTGATGCTATCTTTCCATTGGCAATCAATGCTGTCTATATCACTTACTCCATTACCATCACAGCACATTGGTTGGGTGACAATGATTTCAAGCATGGACCATTTCACCTGGGAATTTTTGTATGTGTTTCAATGGAGATACTAGCCAAATCTCATTTCTTGGGAAAACTTAATAGAGCTTGCCAATATCAATAATTGCAGTGTTAATCATGGTTTTCATGAACATCATGTTCCTCTTCCCTTTGGTGCCCAGCATGAGTGCAACCACAATGAAATACACTGTTGTTGTTCTTGGAGGTGTCCTTGGGCTATCTCTTGTATGGTATTATTTTCCTGTGTATGGTGACATACACTGGTTTGCTGGACCTGTGCTGAACATTGGAAGAGGCAATGGGGATGGGATAGATCTGGATATGCAGAACAGCAGTGGGGAAAAGGGTGGAGTAAAAGGCACATTGGGAGCCTAATTACAATGGGGTGCATGGATATAACATGCATAGTTTTCATTGTTCATCCAAATAGGTGGATTACTGACTCATTGTTAGCTGTATGGTGCCTTCATGCCATGTATGTTCAAATGAGATTAAACCTATCAAACTGTTCAAATGAATGACACATGTGCTTGCCTTCCATTTTGAGCCCATAGATGAACCTGACATCTTGTGTGACTTCAGTGTCAAACTTTTCTTGAAGGTGTGCTGCAATGTAGTAGGGAGGCCTGGGGGAGGGAGGTGAGGACATAGCCACACCAGGCTTAGTCAGACAGAGGTAGACATGGATGTGGTCATGTTCAGTAGATACATTATCCTACAGCTGGCCTTGAGCTCAGCTCATTGCTTGTCATGCTCTCCCACTGCTCCAGCAAGCATCAATGTATTGCACAGAGGCATGGGATGGGGCAAAGAGCAAAGACAAGAACACTTGCCTTTTAGTTAGTTGAAGTGGTAGATTTGAGAAAGTCTTGTAGAAGTCTTGTTAGACAAGTTATGAGAACAGTAGATTGTTCAGTTGAATGATGGGGAGTAAGGCAGAAATCCCTGAGTTCATATACATGTAGCTGTACACATGGACCAGTAGCATATAAGGAAGGAGCTACAATGTAACTACTATAAATGGTATAGAATAGCAGAGAATGCTATGGAATATGACATCACTGTGGAGCTGCTGATGAATCATATCATGTGACATAACACGTGTATCAAAACATGTTGGTCTAGAGTCAGAACTATTATTATATTTCCAACACTCCCCCTCACTCTAGAATGGGAGAGTAACAAGTCCCATCAACAAGTGATTTGTTTCAAATTTTTGCCATGTCAAAGATTTAGTAAGACCTTCTGCCTTTTGTTTGTCAGTTTGAACATATTCAATACTGAAAAAACCATCTTGAACACATTTGCAAACAAAGTGCCACTGGATGTCAATATGTTTAGAGCATCCATCAGAAACTGGGTTCTCAGCAATGAAGTGAGTGCCCACATTATTGCAGTAAAGTATGGTCTTCTTGGTTTTCAATTTGAGTTCACCAAATAGCATATGAAGCCATTTGATTTGACATGAAGCATCACAGAGAGCCATATATACTCAGCTTCTGTAGAGGAGAGCACAATTGTCTTCTGTTTACATGATCACCAAGAAATAAGGGATGTTCTGAGGAACATTGCATAACTGGTAGTAGAGTGTTGAGTATCTTTATTTGATGCCCAATCAGAATCAGCAAATCCATAAATCTGCAACTCAAGTCCTGAGTAATAAAGCACTAATTTTGGAGTAGATGCAATATAGCAAACTATATGCAAGGCTTTATTATGGTGATCCTTGTTGGGATTGGCCATATATTGACTCATGCATATTACTGAAAAAGCAATATCAGGACGAGTGCCTAGGCCATATAGAGTAGAGACCCTATTATAGATTGATATTGGGAGCAGAGTTGGGAAGTCACTTGATAATTTGATGGTGCCTTTTCCAGTTGGTATCCCAATGGCAATGAGTGCAAACATTTCAAGCAGTCTCCATTCCAAATCTTTTGACAACCTTTTTGATGTAAGGAGTTTGATCAAGATAAATCTCCTTTTTAGAACAATCTCAATGAATTTGAATTCCGAGATATTCTTTGACCTCACCAAGGTCACAGGATTCCCATTTCTTCATGAATTCCTCTTTCTTGGCTTTCAGAAGATGTTTCTCTGATCCTAAAAATAATCCATCATCAACATAGACAAGGAAAATGATGATTCCAGCTTTGGAGGAATATATGTAGATTCCAGCATCCACTTTTGAGTGTATGTAGCCCATGCATAAAAGAGAGGCATGTAGGGCTTTATTCCATGCAAGTGTTGCTTGCTTAAGGCCATAGAGGGCTCTAAGCAGCCAGTAGACCTTGTGTTCTTGACCCTTAACTCAGAAACCTTCTGGTTGCTCCATATAAATTTCTTCATCCAGATTTCCATATAGGAAAGTGGTTTTGACATCCAGGGCTTCCATTTCCCAATTTTTCTGGGCAGTGAAAGCAAGTAAGATTTGCACAGTTTCAAACCAAGCCACTGGAGAGAAGGTGTCTTTGAAGTCAGTTCCAAATTCTTGTGTAAAGCCTTTAGCCACAAGATGAGCTTTGTAATGACCATCACTTTTAATAGCAAAAACCCATCAACACTTAACAGGTTTCTGATCTCTGGGAGGATCCACTAGAGTCCATACTTGTCTTTCTTCAATAGACTTTAACTTGTCCTTCATAGTGTCAAACCATTTCTTTTGAAGATCCAGAGATAATTTTAGAACATCTTTATAATGCTCTGGTGATTCTTTGATCCAAGCAGCAAGAGCAAATTCAAAAGGACACATCTCCAACTGCTGATCTGGCATTCCTTTCAGAGACTCCAGAAGCAGAGTTAGGGGAGATAAGGGAGATGGAGGAGTAGTATGTTGTGGATGTTCAGTCCACTGCCTTGGAACCTGAGGAGGTTGCATGGGTGGAGGTAAGACCAGAGAAGGTGGTCTATTTTCCTCTTCATGTCTCTATAAAGCTTCTTGTCTCTCCCTAATATTATGTTCCACATTTCAGATCCATTGTTGGGCTTGATCACAGTTATGTTGAATATCCTGCTCTATTTGGATAGGAGGTCTGTTCCCATATATGTTATCTGGTCTAGAGACAGGAATAAATCTTCTTTTAGGACAAGGTTCTCAATTCTCCAATTGTTCAGGATTAGCTCTTCAAACACCACAAGAATCCCCAGGAACAGCATATGGTTGGTGAGGATGACAGAGAAGTTGAGGGTCAACTAGTGGTATAGCAGCAGGTGCTCTTCTTTGTTGTGTAGGAGCTCTAGGCTGGTCTGCAGCTCTTCCCTGCTGTGGGTTTGGTTGTAGAGTAGGTGGATGAAGTGGTTGAGGAGGATGAGGCCTTGGTTGGATCTGATCAGGATCCAGTAATGAATATAGGCTTTCAGAGTTGGAAGATGATGAATGGCTGTCTTCAGAATCAGGGTCAAAGGTCTCAGTCTTTTTAGAATCTGAGCAAAAAGGAAAAGAGTCTTCTATGAATTTGGCTGTATGAGAAATAATGATTTTTTGACCATGGAGAAATTGGTAACCTTTGGTGTTAGGTTCATATCCTAAGAACACCATCTCTACAGCATGTGGTTCCAGTTTATCTTTTCTTTGTTCTTTCAGAACCCAAACAAAGGCTTTGCAGCCAAAGGTGTGGAAATAAGAGATATCAGGAATTTTTCCAGAGAACAATTCCACAGGGGTCTTGAAGAGAATCCTTTTAAGAGGAGTTTGATTATACATGTGAAGTGCACAATTGAAAGCAAAGTTCCAGAATCTTTTTGGAACACAAGCATGATGTCAGATAGTGCTGGCTTTTTCAGAAATGGTTCAGTTAAAACATTTGGCCCAACCACTTTGTTGAGGTTGGTCTGTGATTGATAACTGATGAGTAACACCATGCAAAGATAGGAGCACTTTAAAAGTGTGACCCATAAACTCTCCCCCTCAATCCAATCAGAGTGCAAGAAGGTGATAGCCAGTCTGATTTTGGACAGACACCAACCAATTTGCAAAAGCAGTATAGGTGATGGATTTATTTCAAAGGTAGAGGCAGAAGCTGAATGACAAATAGTCATCAAGGAGTGTGAGAATATATTTAGACCAAAAATAGGATTTGGTAGGCAACTCCATAAGATTTCCAGGAAGGTTTAAATGCCTCAGAAGACATTTTACCTTGTGCACACCCTTTACAGGAAGAAGTCTCCCCCTGTATTTGTATATCAGGAAGACCCAATCAGCAAAGATGGCCAAGAATAGAATTTGCAGGATGTGTGAGCCAATTATGCCAGAGGAATGCTGGTGATAAGTTCCTAACCAGAGGGTAAAGGACTGCAAAAGCATTGGTAGGTGGAAGCAGTATGCCCACAAACCAGTGAAGCAGTGAAGTAGGAGAGGCTAATCTGGCCTCTAATACAATCCAGCTGTCTGGTGCTCAGATTACCTTGTTTGATAGTGTTGTGGTACTCCTACACCCATTTTCAAAGAGTGTGTTTCTCAAACATAGTCTCTTTGAAAAAAGAGGACTATAAACTACACTATGGAGGGTTAAATTATGCCCAGTTTCTAGGTGAATAACCACAGTCCCTTGACCTAAGAGTTTAACTCAACTTAACCCAGCAGTTGATGCAAGGGAAGGAGTAGTAAAACTCATGATAGGTAAGGAAGTCAGATTTAAAAGGAGTCAAATGATGTGAAGCTCCTGAATCCAACATCCAAATAGACTCACCCTTAGGAAGGTTCTTAATTGACAAGTTAACACCCAAAGGGTACAAGTCAAAGGCATCGTAGGCATTGCAATCAAACTTGCCAGGGTAATAACTTGCAGCAGAGTCATTAGGATCATGCTCTACATCTGGAAAATTACAGAAAAATGAAAAGCATAGTGGTTTTGTAGGTTTTACATCAGGAACAGATTTGTGAAAAGTCTTTAAAGACATAGGATGGTGTTTATTTAATACTTGGACAGATCTTCTGTTGCTATGATCATGTCCTCAAACATCAGAGGTAGAGAGACTAGGATTCCAGTCTCCCTCCACAGTCATAATGCCATGTCCCTCAACATTCCCAACCACCACCATGTCCCCACAAGCCAAAAGGGCACCTGCCACTCTACTTGGGGACAGTTTGGGTTCACAAGGACATGTCCTGTCCTTCCCAGAAGTGGGAAGGGGAACCATCCTCAGAACAAAGTCTGAAGTCTCCCATTGAGATTGTTCCTGTGGGGGTAAGACCACAGGGTGTAGAGAGAGGGCTGCTCATTGACAAATGGAACATGTACAGGGTGAATTAGAATGTGGGATGTTGATACAAATCTTGACTGACTCAACTAGATCACTTTGGTGACCCTGAATTTCATCAAGGTACCATGAGGTGAGTTGTCCAGTGACTGGATCAATGTGAAGGTTTGAGTTTA